TTTATCACTTCAGGCTCCGAAACAACATGTATAACGTATAAATGAACCTCGCCATTAAGCCTACCTAAGTTAGCCATATGCATGGCACTAGTGTCATCCCTCAATTCTTCCAACCTATTTTCCAAAACTGAACCCCCTCCTACACAGTACCATAATTCTTTAAAGTTATCATATCCAAAACTTTTCACTACACTAACAACCACAAAATAACTCCACACATCAGGGTCAAAGGACAAAGTTGTTGTCTCTCCTTCATACTTCAAGGTACCATCGGTAATGAACTTCCCCCCATGGTGGAAAACACAGTAAAAAACGTCGCCCATTATACGCACAACACAGTATCAATATATCTACACGCACAACACAGTATGACGAAAAAAAATAATATATTAAAACGCACTCACAAAGACTCATATAACTTTAAACATACATGGGGGACCCCCAAAACGCAATGAAGAACGCAGACCAAACCATAGGGGACCACAATCGAATATTATACTTTCCCAACTATAAAAAGCAAGACAATAAACCACAAAAACTTACCTTGCTTCAGATTAACCTCCACTCCAGTCAACACCTGCTTCAGCGTCGCGCTTCCAAGGACACAAGGACCCACACTTCACCTCATGCTTCAACCTTTTCCACACGCACATGCACCGGTAATTCACCCACCAACACTCGCGCATCCACTCGAACAATAACGTCTTTCTGATTCCTATCCCACTCGCGCATCCACTCGAACATCATCCACTCTTTCCCAACTCTGACACAACACGAGCCCTAGAATAGAAAAATCTCCAAGTTCATTTTGATTTTTCCAAATTTGCCCTCTGTTTAATTAATTTCAGCATGGATTATACTATATTTACTTCATTCAAAATATCTGAGTATTAAAAAATTGCATTCACACACGCCACGTCACGCACTCCTTAACGCCGTTTTCTGAAATTGACGGAAAAGATTTATTTGCATCTAATTAACAAAAATAAGGATCTAATTAAAACTTCAAATATAACAAGGACCTATTTCAAATTTGGAACAAAAATAGGGACCTTGAGACATTAAACCTTAACCATTATAAACAAAATTAAGAGATTTAAAATTATTGTATTAATGTAGATTTGTTCTTATTATCTTAAAAGTAAAATATATACTAAATAATCGAATATTTATTCAATAAAAGATTTTAACAGTTGTGACTTTTGAAATATTTTTCTAACTCCAACACTAAAATAATTTTCTCACTGAAAATATTTTGAAGAATTATTTTTACAATTTCACTTTTTGGATTTTTTTTTCCTCGGCGAAAATAATTATAGAATATTTTAATCTCTTATTTCTTCCATTTATTATTTCCAATATATTTAGATTTTAATTTTGAAAAAAAATGAATAATCCATGTACTCATTGACAAAAATGTGAAAAGGTGACCTAGAAAATACGGTGAACACAGAAGACAAGACACTTTCCTTGTTTATTATCGTTCATTCTTACCGTTCTCTCCCACTCTTTCTCTCTCATATTCGAAGACATAATAGGGTAATATGGATGAGACTCCAATGGACCCTATAAAAACTGGAGAGAGAGAAGAGCAGCATCGAAATTTCTATGCAGAAGAATAAATGTTTATTTATTTTCTTATCCTTGTGCTATCTCATTAGCGACTAGTGTTTTTGTGTCGTGAAAATGTCGTATTGTATCTGTTCTGTGGAGATAACGCTGTAGCAGGTCTTATTCGTTGTGTTTGGAGGTACCTAAGCTCCAAGATTCGACTCCTTTTCATGTCATATATCTCCTTTCACAACACTCACCACCGATTCCCCAATACAAACTCATTTTTTCTTTTTCCTTTCTGCAATGCCAGAAAATTAAAAGCCTGTGTTGTTTTGTTGTAGTGAGTAAATTGTGTGGGTAAGCTTCTATTGTTCTTTTCGGTCAAATGGGGTTTTGTTTCTCCCATGAAAGTTTAATTTTGCTGTAATAAACTGTGCTTGTCTCTTGCATTTGAAGTAACCCTTTTCATTTCCTCTGTTTCTGGTAGATTAGGTTCTTATTTGTTTATTAGTTTTGTGAGTTCGCGTATTGTTGGTGACTGGGGAGTAGTTTCTTATTGTTTTGACTTTAGGGTAGTGAATGTTTCGGGTTGGGTTTGGTTTAGGAGGAAGAATATTTGTGTGGTGAGTTAAGGTTTAGAAAGAAGTGGATTTTTGGGTTTTTTTTGTTTGTTATTGGTAGAAGAGTTGAAGGTTATATCTCTAATTCATGGAAGGTTCTTCCCTATGCTGTCTGGTGCTAATTATTGAAAGAAAAGTGGTGACTTGTGCTGTGGAGTTTGGGTAGTGGCAGGAAGGATAGAATGGATTTATGGGTTGTTGCAGCTGCTGCTGGAGCTGGCTATTTGGCTAAATATTGGAACAGGGTTGCAAAACATGGTGATAGATCCGTGTCTTCCGAGGATTCATATTTTGAGAACCCTGTCACCTCAAGCGGCCCCTCTCCCTTTGCTAAACAAGCCCGAAGAGATGATTTGGCCGAGGATGTCTGTTCTGATGGAAGGATTTCAGATCTGTACACTCAGGATGGTATTGTGACAAGAGAAGTGGCTTCTGACAGAGGGTTTAACAGTGAAAAAATGCATAAGTTTTGGAATTATAGCAAGCATGATGTTCTGTCTTTAGCAAACTTAGCAATGCCCTTATCACCATATGATGATAACTTCAAGGCTGTTGATGATTCAAATGGCCAAAGCTCTGGCATTGGCGGTGATCATGGATTCCTTATTCCAGATTCTTCTGCTGAAATGGTTCCTGTCAACAACTCTTCTGGACACAAAACCCTTCTCAGGATGAAGCTTTTGTCTGGGCGTGAGACTAGACCTTTAAGTTCCCTAGAAAGTTGCTTTATGGCTCAGCTATACAAGGAGCATGCTGAAACCGAAGAATATGTTTTTGGTTCTCTTGCATCGCAGTCCACAGCCACGAGATCATTTCTTGTTAGCAATGGAAGCCAAATAATCAACAGAGAAAAGAATAGTACTTCCTTTGAAAGCAAGGAATATAAGCTACAAAAAGCAGGTGGTAGAATAAAGGATGAAAACGTCTTTGGGGTTCCTCCTTCCTTACCAAAAGTCAGATCTGTAAATGAGGCTAAGGAGAAATTTTATGCAGTCATTGGGAGAAGTCGAAGATTGAGCTCTTCTGACAGTGTGTGCAGTGAAAGTCTTGTCCATACTCAGCAATATGGTATGATATTTCTTGTTTTAAACAATACCTCCTTACCCTGTGCTGTGTTACAAATGCTTGATTTATCTTTTTGTTGTTCATGGTTATGCTTAGAACTTTTTTCTTTTGTTGTAGGAATCACACTTGTTAGTTACTCTTCTTGAGGATGATAATATGTATATTTTTTTAAATTCTTGGTGTTATGCTTAGTAACAGTCTCCTACTGTGTTATGAGGATAAAAGTTGTAAAGGAATCTCATTGATATTGAAACACAATAGAAAATATCATTGTTATTTTGCAAATGGATATTTTTTGAGGGCTAAAGGTTGGGTGAAATTGCTTCATATCCTAAAGCAACTTTCCCAGCATTAATTATCAAAGGGTTTTATTATCTGATCTTAATTGTTTTGATCAAGCCTAGCCTTGTAAATTATAACCAAAAATATCATCTGCATAAGGTGCTGCAAATATAGATCTTTGAAATTAATTAGGTTGCTATTTATTCATGAGTGGACAACGTGTATTAGGTACTTGATTTGGATAATGTAAAATGTAAAATGTTATACTTTGATTACTAAATTCGTTAACATGTCTACATGCATCAGATAAAACACTTCTCTTCAGTCTTGGGATTTCTTTTGGGATGATGACTTCCATTATGGCAAATAAAAGAGAAATAGGCAAGTTAAGAGAGTTGTTGAAGCAGACTGAAAACCTGGTTCAAGATCTACAAGAGGAACTTGAAATGAAAGATTCAATGACTGTGAAGGAGTTACAGAATGAAAATTATGGTTCGCAGGATACTTGTGATCATTCCTCTTATGATAAGGAGCTAAATGAATTTTCCCCTGAAAAGCATGTAGATAACTCACCAAGAAATGACTCCAAAGAATCATGTCATCAAAAGGTAGAACAAAGTTCAGAAACCATGAGCAAAATTGAAGCTGAGCTTGAAGCTGAACTTGAGAGATTGGGGTTGGACATGAATGCATCAAGCCTAGAAAGAAAATTATCTGAGCTTGTTGAGGTAAGAATGCATTTTTATCTTCACATTTCCTAGTAATTACATGATCCTCTAGCACAAAACCTCGTCTTGAAATGCATTTAGTAGTTCTTCCATTTATTCACCTCCTAATTGAGCCTGTGGTATTATTGTTGGTCTTAAGCCCATGTAAAGGAGAAGGGTTGTATTATGCCTTTGGCAGCTAGTGTAGAACGTGTTGAAATACCAAATATCTATCATTCATGCTAGATTTTGTGTGCCGACTGCCATGTATTCACCTCCTAGTTTAGTGGCTCTCATCCTTGGCTATGGTGAAAGTAACAAAAAAATGGAATGGAAATGAACCCTTCTTATTTTTCACCTTCATGGAGAGTACAAAGTATAACCTTGGTCTGTAGCATACTTCCTCTTGTTTTGATCATTATTAGGGTTCTAATTCACATGACTAATTTATCATAATCTATGATACACCCAAAACTTTAGTTTGGGTCATGTTATTAGGGTTCTAATTCACATGACTAATTAATTTATCACAATCTATGATACACACCCAAAACTTTAGTTTGGGTCATGTGTCTGACATGTATCCGTATCTGATACTCTAGGATACTTTACTGATACTTATCAATGTCTAATCTATAAAGCAATAGTATTTTTATGATGGCAGTAATTTATAATTTTTTATTTTGACAACTTTTAATAAATATGATTTTAATTTAGATTCATACCATAACAATCTTATATTTATAGTGTTTTTAAGAATTTTTATATATGTAAGGTATCGTATCTTATTATTTTCAAAATAAATGTATTGGTGTATAAGGTATGTATCTTATCCGTGTATCATAGATCATAATAGTAGAAATCAGAATACTGCAAAATAAATAGCTCAGCTCCCCGACACATCCAACCTTTCATCAGCATGCTAATCAACTGAACAAGAAATCTTCGCACTGCTATATATATTGGTTTTAGCCCCCTGTGCCAATTTTATGCGCCTTATTTTTCTTGGAAGTTCCAATGCTTTGTTTTGCAAAATACACAATTTGCTTTCTGAAGTGAAAGCTTACATACTATACTTTCTTCCATTGCTTGTGGTTCTTATGGGTTAATGGTAAACAATTTCTTGCAGATTGATTCAGAGTTTGTAGCAGATTTTTCCCAGGGTGAGCTACGAGCTGACATGGTCAGTGGTAAAGATTCTGTCCCTCCAAAATCGACCGAGGATGCCGGAGATCCAACACCTCTCCCTGCTAACTATGCAGTCTTGCCTCATGAACTGAGTTTGCGTTTGCATGAAGTTCTACAATCTCAGCTTGAGCAACGAGTGCAGGAGCTTGAGATTGCCCTTGAAAATAGTGAGAGGAAAGTGCAGCATTTGGAATCAAAGCAAGAGGGTTATTTTCAAAAGGCATCTTCCTTTAGTAGAGAAAATGATGACTGTGACCTTATATCCCAGCCCTTAATCCTTAACTTATCAGGTGAAGCTCTAGATGCATACACTGAGGCTTATGAAGAACTGATAAAGATAAATGACTCCGAACAAAATTCACCACATGATTGTGCTGACCACAAGGAAGGTTTGCATTTACATGACTTGCATGTATTAGGGGTTCAACATGGTGGAGAAAATGGTTCTAGAATTTATGAATTAGCTGGTACTGAAGTTGAAAGTAACGGTTTTGATGATGACGAGGTGGAACAGCAATTGATAAGGCAAATTGTTGAAAGGACCAAGAAAGGTTCTCCTGTTTTTAAAAATGCACAAAAGATATTGTGTTGTGTGGATGAAGATGAACAATGATATCAAACAGTTTTAGACATCTAGGAATAGAAAAGAGTTAATATTTACTAATACCCAAAAAGCTTCCCTTATTTTCACCTTTTTTTCTCCATCATATTCCCTTATATTTGTGCAGCACCTTTACTTTTAAATTCTTTTAAATGAAAAAGCAAAAGGTCTAAGGCTTTTTAGATAAGATTCATTGGCCTATTTAATTCATTGAAATATCAGAATTAACATACTGCAGCTAATTGGATTAGATTGTGTGCATGTTATACTGATAAATCATATTTGCAGTATTAGTATATTTTGTGTATGAAACATTGTCTGGGGTGTCAGGTGAATTTATCTGGGAGATGGGCTATTGTGTTGGCATTTACTACAGTACACAAACAATGAAATGAAATGGATGCAACAAATAAAATCATGACTTATGTAGAATAAAGTGTACGACTTTGAGAAATAAAAAAGAGATAAAGAGCATGGTGAAAACTAATGAGATGTAATTAAAGAGGTGATAACAGGAAACAATTGTGTAAATTATTGCATGAATTATTGTCCTAATAACATTTCCTTACATATTTGATTGTTAGTATTAGAATAGTTTTAATGATAGAATAACATTAAAGAACAAGAGCAAGATATCATGAATAACATAAATAAACAAGATCAAGAATACATTAATATTAGAAGAATCACAAAAATCATCATAACATAAGATGTTCTTGCTCAACATAGAATGTTTTTATTTTCGGTGAAATATATTTTTAGATCCTAAAGTTGGATGTGAAATTAGAATTCTTTTTTTTCCATTTTGATACATCTTGATACCTAAATTTTAAAAATGAATATCTCTTGCGAAGCCACCAGCATTCCCAAAACTTGGTCCATTTCCAGCGTTACCACTAGCAGCGCCATAATTATTGCCAGAGCTTCTTCTCCCAAAACTACTACCTGATCTTCCACCATGTCCATTACTGCCATAACTGATAGGATATAATATTACTAAAGAGTTCTATCAATAACCCACAGTTTTTGCTGGTGTTGCTGTCCCTGGGACTGCAGACTGATCCACCACCGTATCCACTGCTGCCCTAACCTCCAGCAGCATTGCTACTATCACCACCATCTCTACCACTGCCAGAACCTCCACTAGCATTGCCACCATAGGCACCTGCATTACCATAGTTCTTGCAAGAGCTGCTGCCCCCAAAACTGCCACCTAATTCTCCACCGTACCCATCACTTCCATAACTTCCCGCAGCATTGCTACCATAGGGACCAGTGTCACCACCTGATCCTCGACTGCTGTAACCTCCAGCAGCATTGCCACCATAGGCACCAGTATCAGCATAGTTATTGCCAACCTTGCTGCCCCCAAAATTGCCACCTGTTCTGTAGCCACCTCCACCATATTCACCACTTCCATAACCTTCAGTAGCATTGCCACCAACAGCATTAGCATACACACCACCACCACCACCATAGTTATTGCCAGAGCTGCTTCTCCCCAAATTACCACCCGATCCTTCACCATAACCGCTCCCGTAACCTCCAGCAGCATTGTCATAGTTCTTGCCAGAGTTGCTGTCCCAACGACTGCTGACTGATCCAGCACCATATCCACTACTGCCATAACCACCCCCAGCATTGCTACTGCCACCATATCCACCACTGCCATAACCTTCATTAGCATTGCCACCATCGGCACTAATATAGCCTTTTTAGTCGCATAAGACTCTAGTCAAAACCAATTTTCCCCTAAAATGCAATCTGGATCAACCTTGGGAAGTAATCTGTGGAAATGACAATATGAAGATGTAAATGCTTGTAAACTACTTTGTTAGGGAAATTAAACTATCTAAACATAAACTCCGAAAACTACTAAAACATAAACTACTATGACCATGACTCGAAACTTAAAATATACAAAATGTAGCTTAAAATGCTTATACAATGAATGGAATGATGGAATTGATGCTTAAAATGTACTAGTGGACACTAATCTACAAAAGCTAACACTTACTATCAGCTATCAAACACTGGAAACAGAGATACGCAAACTGTTTGATGAAATGCTCATTAAACCCTAGCTTTCACAAGTGTTCTATGAAATGCATGAATGAAAATAAGATGCTCTATTTACAAAGCAAGTGTATGGAACATAACCTAAACACTTATAACAACTAAAACATAGATTTAGAATTGAATAGAAACCAAAGAAATCGAAAACCACAATTAAACCAGAAAAATAAAGCAATTATGCAGTAAAAGTGAACATATACATATGAGAGTGCAGGGCATGATTCGAATTCTGATATGAAATGGATGAATTAGTGATGTAAAACAGTGTGTAGTTACATCAACTGAATATAGAAACTGAAACGAAGTTAAATGATCAGGTAAAAATGAAATTGAAAATCTGAAACCTAGCTTTTAACCAAAAAAAAGGGAAATAACATAACTACCAAAGTGTGATTTTGTCTTTTCTGTGTTTAATTCGAGAATGAAGAGGGTAAACAAGCTTATAAACCTAATCAAAGCAATTAAAATTCACAGAAATCAGAAATCGAATCTAAATTGCCAAATCACAGTGTAAATGAAATTTCTCAGTTCAAGAGCACTTAAGCTTGTTCGTCTCTTGATTTTGCTTCTAATGGCCAAGTTTAACTCAGAAACTTTGGTGTATATCGGTCTTTGAACACACTAAGTCATTGACATTGAATCCATAACCAAAAGTTACTAAGATATGGAAGCAAAACCAATCAATTCACAAGTTTAAGAAGAACTTGAACCAAAAGTAAAGAACACAACATCAACTCAACCTGAGCATGGGGAAAAAACGAAAATCAGTGAGATAAATCGAAATTAAACGGTGGAAATTGAAAGAAACAAGAATTGAAACTGAATACTGAATGTAGATTACAAATTCTTGAAGTTCTTGAGCCTATTTCACTTAGGTCCTTGAGCTCCAAGCCAAAAGTGAGAGAATGGGAAAAAGTGTCGTTTCCTCTCTATTCTAAGCTTTATATACATTGCTTTCTCTCCCTAAGCTCCACTAACTAGCTGTAGTTAACTAGTCTAACTTCTAAAAACCGAAAAACTCAAAATTCGAACTAAAACTAGACTAGACTATCTCTTAGACTAAGCTTAGTTAACTCTATTTTTGCCTTCAACACGTCACATGATATGTCTCTTAAAGTCTCCAACAGCCTGGACATGGATTTGACCTTCAATTGTGAAAATCAAATCTAAAGTCAAAATTCAACATATGAATAGGCTCCAATTCAATTTCAGATTCTGCAGTTGCTGTAGTTTGTGGTTGATCGTCCTTTAATCAGCACTAAACCACTGGATTAAATAACCTGTACCGAAGTCACAAAACTCAAATTAGCATATTAGTTCTCTAGGAAAATACCAAACTAGACTAAGCTAGCTAGACTAATTAACTAAACAAGTGTAAAATGAAATGTTTGATTGAGTCAGCTTCTAGCTTTCTTTCCAAGGTTCTCCAACTCCCAGCAAGTGTATGTTGATGCCAATTTGAGTCCCCCATAGCTGGTACAAGCTTAAGGATTGAATAGCAAAATGTCAACTTGTGGTCAATGTAACAGCTTTTTGGCCAATTTAGTGCAGAGTTGCTTGTTGCTGCTGGTTTTGCTCTCCTTGGCTCTTGATCAAGCTTCCAGCACGTGCAAACAAGTGATGTTTAGGGTCTCCAACAACCAGAACTTGATTTGGAGCTTTTACTTGAAAAATCAATCCTTGGGTCAACTATGCCTCCTTAAATCCTTTTCAACACTGGGTCAGATCTGCACCGTTGCATGTTTTTCTTCTTAATCAGCCTCCAATCACCTTTAATTCAATGAATAAGAACTGCTTCCCCCAAAACTGCCACCTTCACCATATCCACCACTACGATAACCTTCAGTCGCATTACCAAACCCATCACAACTTGCAGCAATACCAAGTGGAGAGATGCCATAACTACCTCTATATCCAGTTCCAGCACCATAAAGACTGCCATAAGATCCATGAAAGCCACCACCACCAAATCCACCACGGGGTCTTTCATCAGCAAAACTTACCTTAACTAGGCGACCTTGCAGATCCTGACAAAAGCCTTACACTCAAAATAAGCAAAAAAAAGAATGGTAAGGTAGTATGAAACAAAGACCCCAAAGTGGGCTTTATAATTCTAAATTGTCTTTTTAGCACAAATAAGCGTTCCTCATCGTTAATATGTTTGCTAGTGATAATGATGAATGCATGAAAGATGCACTTGCTACTGCTTATATCTAAGAATTCTTAATTGGTTGGTTTAAATAGTTCTGGACTGTCAAACAAATGATTATCCCGAACGTTCACCGGAGTATTGACGGCGATTATCAAATATCACATAACAAAATGGAATATGATGAGATAGAATACAATAGAAACAAAGACAAAAGAAAAAAGTTATCTACTCTTGGAGAGTAGTTGAAACTCATGCCTAATCAATGTAATGTTTGTTGCTTGATCTTGTGTTGCTTAGTTCCATTGCACATTTAAATCTGAATTTTGTTTTTGCCTATATTTTTTAGCTTGTTCCTTCACTTTTGATGTATCTGCTGATTTGATTTTAGGTTCATTGTAGTTTAGAATGTGGTTTCTTTGTTTCCATCTCTTTTACGTGATATACCATTCCTAGCATTGACATTTAAAATTTCCAGAACATTAGAAATACGATTCTTAGATTCATTTGCATTTATATCCGGGTTTAATGTTGGTTTTTGTTGCATAGTTAGATCATGGCATTTGTAGATTTAGGTTGTAGTTGTTGTTATTGATTCGTGTGAATAGTATAATGTCATTAGTCTAGGTTTTTCAATTGCATTATTTCATCATTCTAGTCTAGGTTTCATATTGAAATTCCATTTTTTTAGCTTAAAACATATTAATTTTTTTACATTCTTTACCTTCTTTTATAGTTTACATGCATTCATTTAGAATTAGTTGAAGTGATAATCATATATTTGCATTAACGTTTAATTTTTTTTCCTCTTTAATTTTGTTTTTCATATTTTTTTTTGTTTAGTTAGTAAAAATTAGAATTTACTTAACATTCGAAACTTAATAAGAATTGAGTCCTTAGATTGATCTAAGTTGTTTCTTATACTACATTAGTGGAGAAAATCTAATTTTGTTGGTATTTAGTGCGACATAAACATAATTCATTTCAACAAAGATTGAAGAAGAGAAGTAGTGGATAGACATTATGAAGGAAGAACGTAAAAATAGACTCTCTTTTTTCAATAACTTTAAGATGATTTCCTTTAGTCATGCTTCTTGTTATCCTTTTATTCTCTTCATCCTTTGTCCTATCTATGAACACATCATCAAGAAATTAATCATTGTAGAACTATTTTTTATCGTAGCTTTAACTCTTTTAAATACCTTTTCCTTCCTCAGAAAAAATTGATAGTAATGGATGTATCTAGTTCATTCCTTGTAGTAATAAATGTTTCTTTCTTCTTTGTGTAACATCCCAATTATTTGATGTCCTTATCTCCTTCTTGGGCAATGAGCATTTCCATGATTCATCTTAAATTGCAATCCGTATGAAGTAGATAATTCTTTCAGAAATAACAAGAAAAACAATTTTAGCAAAGAGATCTTTCTAGTGTTACTAGTTGTTTCAGATATAAGGTTGACGTCCTATACTCAAAACACTCAAGGTTGTATTGATGGCCGGACGGACCTTGAAGATCGGGTGAACCTTGCAGACCGGACGAATGAAGCATTACTGAAGATTGAACAGGCGGGGCTCAGGGCGGACGGACGCTGCTCCATGCACTAGGTTGATGACCGATCAGACGTTTCTCCATGCAGCCCAAGTGGTCGTCCTTCTCATACTCCAAGAAGAAAGGGCGGGCACCTGTCAAAGGCACTCCGACGCTCAAGTCAGTAAAATGACCGAACGATTATAATAAGAGATGCAAGTAATGCATAATATGTAGCGTGTGCAATGTGGTCTGAAGTCATACCTGAGACCTCTATTTATACTAGTTGTGATGGACTTATGAGCTTTTACCTTTCACTGGTCTAATGACGGCCCAATGACACCTTAACCTGCATTAGGGTCTTAACAAGTTATCACTATTTATAATCTAACCGTGCGGTCGGCCTGGTGGTCGACCGGCCGGTATGGTAGGTCGGCCTAGATAGAGCCGTTTGGCTGGTATGGGTGGTCGGCCGAGATAGAGTCGTTCAGTTCACGGGGTCGGGAGGACCATACAGTACAAGCCCGAGCATGATTTAGTTATGTGAAGGGGTTTTATGCACGACCTTCCTGATACGTATGAGATCTCCTGTTTTGCTTTTGTCTTTAAGTCCTCTCTGCTTGTTGAGTGGATGGAAGACAAAATCGAGTTGTGCCTTCGTCGGCCGAGCTGGATAATCTACTGATCCTTACTTTAGGTAACAGGTCGCGAAGATCCACGGTCGCCCACTGTCGGAGAGACCGGCCGGGATATCTTTTGTTCAAGATCCACATCGTGAGGCCGAATGACCGAATGATTGATGTCAAATTTGGCAAAGTACTTAAGGCCACGGATTACCAAGCCATAGGGGCTGAAAAGCTGAGGTCAAGTTATGACCGGACAACTGAGGACAGGTGACCGTGATCGAATGGTCAGGCCAGAACGTTGATTGCCAAATTTGGCTAAATAAATGTGAGGCCATGGACGACCGAGAGGAGGAGGAGTTGAGGCCTTTAGAGGCCAAGTTGAGGCCAAGAAATGGCTGAACGGTTGAGGACCTTTGGAGGCTGAGTTGAGGTCGAGTAGTGACCGAGAAGGTGAGGCCTTTGGAGGCCGAACGATTGAAGCCGAGGAGACCGAACAGTTGAGGCCAAGAAATGGCCCAACGGTTGAGGCCTTTGGAGACAAAGTTGAGGCCGAGGAGGCTAAACGGTTGAGGCTTGGGTGGCCAAGTTGAGGCCAAGAAATGGCCGAACGTTGAGGCCGAAGAGGCCGAACGATTGAGGTCGGAGGAGCTGAACGATTGAGGCCTTTGAAGGCTGAACGGTTGAGGCCTTTGGAGGCCGAGAAGTTGAGACGAGGAGCTCGAACGGTTGCAACCTTGGAGGCCGAGAGGTTCAGGCTGAGTAGGCCAAACGATTGAGGGCGATGAGGCCGAACGGTTGCGGCCTATTTGGAGGCGAGAGGTTGAGCCGAGGAGGCCGAACGGTTGTGGCCTTTGGAGGCCGAGAGGTTGAGGCCGAGTAGGCTGAACGAGTGAGACCGAGGAGGCAGAACGGTTGAGGCCTTTAAAGGTCGAGGAGGCCGAACCATTGAGGCCGAGGAGGACGAATGGTTGCGGCCTTTGGAGGCCGAGGAGGCCGAACGGTTGCGGCCTTTGGAGGCCAAGAGGTTGAGGCTGAGGAGGCCGAACAGTTGAGGTCGAGGAGGCTGAACGGTTGAGGCCTTTGGAGGCGAGAAGTTGAGGCCTTTGGAGGCCGAGAAGTTGAGGCCAAGGAGGCCGAACGTTGAGCCTTTGGAGGCCGAGAGGTTGAGGCCTAGGAGGCCGAACGGTTGCAGCCTTTGGAGGTCAAGAGATTTGAGGCCAAGTAGGTCGAACGATTACCGGGGAACGTTGTTGGAGCCAGACGAGGAGGCCGAACGGTTGCGGCCTTTGGAGGCCAAGAGGTTGAGGCCGAGTAGGCCGAATGACTTAGGTCGAGGAGGCCGAACGGCTGAGGCCTTTGGAGGCCGAGAAGTTGAGGCGAGGAGGCCGAACCATTGAGGCCTTTGGAGGCGAACGGTTGCGGGCCTTTAGAGGCCGAGGAGGCCGAACGGTTGCGGCCTTTGGAGGCTGAGAGGTTGAGCGGTAGGGACATGAGCCGAGTAGGCGAACGAGTGAGGCCGAGTACGGCGAACGAGTGAGGCCGAGTAGGCCGAACAAGTGAGGTTGAGGAGGCCAAACGATTGAGGCCTTTGGAGGGTGAGAAGTTGAGGCTTGAGGAGGCTGAACCATTGATGGCGAGGATGACGAACGTTTGCGGCCTTTGAAGGCCGACCGAGTGAGGCCGAGGATGCCGCGAACAATTGGATGGGCCTTTAGAGGCCGAAATTGGTTGAGGCGCTTTTGGAGTGCCGGGAAGTTTCGAGGGCCTTTGGAGGCCAGAGAAGAGTAAGTTGAGGCGAGGAGGCCGAACAATTGAGGCCTGTGATCAAGACTGCCGAACGGTTGGGACCTTGGAGGGCCAAGGGGGTTAGGCCTTGGATGGACCGAGTAATGAACCTTTGAAACGTCTCGGGCGGCAGGGTATCGTCGTTCACCGCTTAGCCAAGTTGACAATGGGTGTACCGTTCATCAACGTTGACTTTGTAGAACGTCTCGAGCGATTTGGGTGTCCCGTTCACCGTTTGAGCCAAGTTTGACAGGGGTCCTAGTCATTAACTTGGATTTTGAAAACAACATCGGGCGGCGGGTGTCCCGTTCACCGCTCGGCCAAGTTGTCAGGGTGTCCTGTTCATCAACTTAGTTGTGGCCTTTGGAGGCCGAGTTTGGGCCAAATGGTTGATGAGTATTTGTGAGGCCATGGACGGCCGAGCAGTTAAGGCCGAAGGCCTAGTATTTGATGCCAAATTTTGTTAAGTACTTATGAGGCCCGTGGACGGCCAGACAGTTGAGGCGCAAGGCCGAGTATTAGGCCTAATGGCCGAGAGCTTGAGGCCCAATGGCAGAGAGCTTAGGACCCAATGGCCGAGAGGCTTGAGGACCAATGGACCGAGAGCTTGAGGCCAAATGTTTCCGCGAGAGGTTGCAGGCCTAAATGGCAGACGAGGTTGGGCCTAATTGCCGAGATCTTGAGAACCAAATGCCGAGAACTGAAGCTAATGGCCATACTATGGCCCGAGAAGGTTGAGGGCCAAAATGTATGAGATCTTGAGGCCTAATGTCCGAGAGTTGAGGCAAATGGCCGAGAGAGCTTGAGCCAAATGGCCGGAGCTTGAGGCCAAATGGCCGAGAGCTTGAGGCCTAATGGCCGAGAGCTTGAGGCCAATGCGAAATTGGACAATGCAGGGAGAGCTTGAGGCCTAATGGCCGAGAGCTTGAGGCCTAATGGCCGAGAGCTTGAGGCCTAATGACCGAGAGTTGTCGCCGGATACTAGGTGCCGATTTTGGATAAGGGGTTGAGGTCGGACGACCAAGGTTGAGCAAACGAGGACGAAAAGCCTAGTTGAGGAGGCCGAGCGGACGAATATGAAAGGTTGAGTAAACGTCCTTTTGAGGCATCGCTCACTGGTTCCTTGGACTACAATGGGATACTCGCTCGGCCCCACGGTGGGCGCCAAATGTTTTGGATATAGGGTTGACGTCCTATACTCAAAACACTCAAGTTGTTTTGATGGCCGGACGGACCTTGAAGACTGGGTGAACCTTTTAGACTAGACAAATCAAGCATTATTGAAGATTGAACAGGCGGGGCTCAGGGCGGACGGACGCTGCTCCAGGCACTAAGTTGATGGCCGATCGGACGTTTCTCCATGCAGCCCAGGTGGTCTCCTTCTCCTTCCAAGCCGGGGGGGAGGGCACCGTACAAAGGCACTTCGACGCTAAGTCAGTAACATGAACAGTAAAATGACCGAACGGTTATAATAAGAGATGCAAGTAATGCATAATATGCAGCGTGTGCAATCTGGTCTGAAATCATACCTGAGACCTTTCTTTATACTAATTGTGATGGGCTTATGGACTTTTACCTTTCAATGGTCCAATGATACCTTAACCTGCA